AAATATATATATATATATATATTTTTATTTTTTTACTGTGGAATTGCAGATGTTACGTTCTTGTTGTGAAATGCATTAAAAGCAAGCACCCTTTGCTAAGTTTTTTTTTTTTATATATTAACAGGTTGTACATGTAGGAATGTGAACCTGTTGGTTTCATTTTGCATTGTGAAAGAAAACCTTTCTGTACACATTTGTTTTATATAAATTGTCACAAATGCAGGCTTAATGTGTTTAAACTTGTTTTAAAGTGTTTGAAATGTTTTTGAAAGTGTAACACCTGCTGAAGCTGTTCCCTAGTAAAAAGGATTTATTACATATTTACTGCCTCTGTAGTCGTCATTGAAGTATGGGGAAAAATGGGTGATATTCATTATTTTATAACGTATAGTAGTAACTTGACTAAATGGGATTCATTAAAAGTGATGTAAACATATCGGCTTAACATCAAGGATTAAATTTAAGATGGCATGATTAATTGAAGTTCAATAAAAACCATTAATTCAAGTTAAAAATAAGTATTTAAATCATGTTTACTCAATGTCATCTGTTCATGTAAAATGAACAGAAATACTTCAAGCTGGTTTAACATCATCCAGTGGTGTTAAGTTAATGTGGTGTAATCACGTGGAACCACTGTCCACGATTAAATCATGTTCAACCAAAGTGCTATTTTTTTGAGTGCAGTAGCTTTCCATGTCTGTACTTTTCCCTCCGTATACCCCACAAACATAAAGAAGAGCAATAAAGACCATTAGTTCTTCGACAGTCAAGTCCCAAGTCGCTTCCGTTCTGTGGGCTTCAGCAACTGTAAACTGTCGGACTGTAAACTGTAAACTTCCTGAAAGGAAGGTGGAGATGCTTAATGAAGAGGTGTGATTGCCGCATAGACAACATAAACACAATTATCAGCGCCTGTTGCGTGCTTCACAATTTTTGCCAAGTAAATGGTGAGGAATGTGAGAACATTGCCGCTGAAGAGGAAAATGTGAACAGTGGATGGAATCCTCTTAATTCAGCCACTAGGTCAAATTCCACCAGAGATGCATTATGTTCATATTTCTCAAATCTATAGAGAGATATTTTAAATTTCAGGAGGATGGTTTTCATTTCATACTTCTGTGTCATGCTGCTACTATATTCAGTGCATTTATATTTATTCTATGTACTTATTGGTTTACTGTGACCATTTTTGTGCTGTCAATAAAGTCATATTGTTCATTTCAAAAACAGTGCAGGAGTTATTTGCTAATAACACACAAAACATAAGATAATGCCCAAAATGTTTTATTCATAAACTCAGAAGCATTTGCCACACGAAAAAACAGTACTTCACAGAACACAACCATGTGCAGTGGTGTAACAAAATAAGAAAAATCAAATACAAAGTGCAATATATCAAGGCACTTCTGGGAAAGAAGTTTTCTCAAAAATGAAAATTTGCTTGCAGTATACTTTCCTTCAATTTGCAGACATACCTGAGTGTCATTATTCAATACAGCATAGAAGAAGGTATATAAAAATGAAATTCAAAATGTTTGTGTGAACTCCAGTGAGTGTATTTGGAAAGTTTTGAGAGAACTATACCTAGTGTGTGTTGTGTATAATTAATGGAAGTGTGTGGCATATATTGTAGAGGTTCGAGGTAGAACAATAAAGTGTAGTAGGTGCATAGTGTTAGTGTAAAGTGCATAGTAAATATATGCGACAGAAAATTAAACAACTTTTGGCCATATTTACCTATTACAAACATGTTATTAATAAAAACTAAAAAAAAAAGATAAAACTTAACCCTTATAATAAAATGCTAATTTTAAATACAGTAACAAAAACATGGACTTGAACAACTGTGCCTTTACAGGTTGCTATAAACATGTGTAGAGTTATCCTCAGAGTAGGGTGATGATGCCTCAGCATGGAATGGATACTGCAGCTGAGGAGGAGTAGTAGCGGGAGGAGGTGTAGGAGAAGGAGCATGAGGAGAGGGATGGTGAGCATAGGGATAGCGACGAGAGCGTGAGGGAATCATGGCATCAAACAGTCTGTTCATGGTTTGCAGGAACATCATGTTTGTTTCTTGGCATTCCTCCCTCTGCAGTTGCAGTCGACGCTCCTCCATCTGTACTTGAGCCTTCATCCAGTTATCAAGCATTTCTGGTAATGCAGGTGCTCCCCTTGCATGAATTCTTCATGATGTTGTTTCTGCATGTCTAGAAAGGCAGTCATCATGTCACTTACTTCTACCTTTCTCTTCCTCTTTTTGCCTTGTTCTGAAGGTATTGTCTCAGGTTCAGTCTTGTCTGTTGTGTCCTGTGTCTCATCACCAGTGTTTGAAGCGATTGTTGAATCTGAATTGAGTGATGTAACTGTTGAAATAAAAGCAAAATAAACATAAATGTAAGCATTTTAATAATAACAGTAAACAAACATCCCTTATGAAAATGTGTTTTTTTCTTTTTGTAGTAAAACCCAGTTTTATCTGCATACCCATGGTCAATTTGTTGAAACCAAGGTTTTACTAAAGTAACCATGCTTTCTTGGTTGGATTCGTAGGAAAACCTTGTATAATTTACTTTAGGGACATGCACATACTAAATCAACAGAATAGCTATCAAATGCAACTGGTATGTATGTTAACGTTAATCACAGCTCAGGGATCTCTCCAGTCCGTTGTCCTCCGTATCAGATGGCGTAGAATCCAGCAATCTTCGCGGATGGGACTCCAGCACATTCGGTTGGCTAGATGGTTTGCTGCCGATTATGCTGTCGACAGCGTCATACCATTGGAATTTATCTTTTTCGTGTGCAGAGCTGCCAGATTTACGGAGTGCATCCCGTACCTTTAAATACTGTGCCCGCAGTTTCTTAACCTTGTCTCGACACTGCTCGGTGGTTCTTTGGTATCCACAATGAAGATAATCCCAGATTTTGCGAAATATATCGGAGTTTTTATGCGTTTTGTCCAGCTGTTCTTGTATGCTCTCATCTGCCCAAATTTCCAACAAACATTGCACCTCTGCCTTAGACCAAATCGACCCTTTCCCCGCCATGTTGCTTTTGGAGCGAGCGTCGCAAAAACGTGACGTCACACGTCCTGTTTCGTACTCCAGAACGATTAGTGCTCACACTACATGCGAACCGCGCCCGAGTCCAACTGAACCGCACTCTGGCACACCTCTTCCAAGCGGGTCAGGGACGGCCAAACGAACCGCGCCCGGGCACGATTCGGAGCACTCACACTAGTCAAACGAACCGCGCTTTGGTGGTCAAACGCACTCGGGCACGGTTAAAACTGCCTCGCGTGAGTACACCCTAGAACTCCCAGAGAGGGGCCATTTGGCCCTATCCCCCTAGCTCTACCAGAGAGGGGCCATTTGGCCCGGTTGTTTTTACCGAATATCCTTAATCACGTGTGAACGGTTGCCTTTGTTCGGTAAATGTAGCAATTACTTGCTAGTAATTAATATTTACATGTAAGGCATTTAGCAGACACTCTTATCCAGAGCAATGTACAAAGTGCTACTGACTTTACAATCAGGGATCACAGTCATCTAGGAGCAATATGTAAGGGGCCATACCAAGGGTACAATTGGTGTAGAAAAAATTGATTCAAAGATTACAAAGTTCAAAGCGTTTATTTTCTTAAACAAAAACATACAACATAAAAACTACTACCACTAATAGAAAATATACATTTACATAAATGTGCAACATATGGTGTTTGTATGTGTGTGGGAGTGACCAGTATTTTAGCAGTTCATTGGTGTGATCTGTTGGCACATATCTGGCACTGCCACTCAGTCTCCTTTTTGTATTTTCCACATGTGTACTGTACTTGTATCAGTCTACATAGCGTAAGGTTGCATGATTTATCTTGCACTGGAAGGTCACCTGACACTTGGCCCTTTTCCCTGGGTGTGGTGTGGCAGGTTGCCAAAGCAGCTGCTCCTTGTCCACCATCCTTTCTTGCATAAACCACTTAGCAAGCTCAGTTGCAAGCTGCGCCAGGAAGTCCACCCTTCTCTCCTTCACTCCGGTGCATGCCTGATACAGCACGTGAGCATTCATTGCTGCCATGTCAATCATGTTGTAAAACACAGCAACTGGCCATCGCCTTGTTCCTGCACGCACAGTGTACTGTCGAACCTTCTGGTCCATAATGTCCATGCCATACTTCATGGTGTTGTAGTCAGTGACTGTGTTTGGCTTCCTCTTTCATTTATCCCCAATCTCAACTATGTTGTGCTTGGGCGCATAAACTGTGAGTGTAGTGCCAGTTGTTGAAAACACCTGATAAGTAAGATAAGAAAAGATAAAACGTTATTGTTATTGCACTTTTATACACAGTATAATAGCACAATGAAATTGGAGCTCTTGCTCTAGGTGCAAAAAAAAAATAACACAGCACTTTATATAAATATAGATAAAAATAGATAAAAATAATGACAACATACCTGTGTGGTGAATTCGTTGCGGTCCGAAGATTGTTTGGCTGATTGTGGAAGCTCGCGACGAATCTTGTTTATGGTGCCAACAAGGGTAGTTTTCCGGCTGAGCAGTCGTCCAGCAAGTGACAATGAAGTGAAGTAATTGTCAGTGGTAACAGTTCTTCCCTTGTCCATGAAAGGCTCCATCAGCTTCATGACCACATTCTCGGATAGTCTCTCCCCAGAGGGACGACTGAGGTCCTTGCCAAGATAAGGGATAGCGTTGCACATGTATTTTGACTTCAAGTCACATGCAACCCAGAACTTGATTCCAAACTTGTCGGGTTTTGAGGCAATGTACTGCTGGAAAGGACAGCGAGACTTAGTTGGAAAAAGTTGCTCATCGACAGTGATGTGCTGGCCCGGGTTGTAAGACTTGATGCAGTTAGTAACAAACATCTGCCAAACATTTGAGACTGCTGCGAACTTGTCCGTTGCTACACATTGAGTGCGTGTGTCCTTGTCATCAAAGCGTAGGTGTCTCATGATGTCCTGGAAGCGGTTTCGGGCCATCGTGCTCTTGACGTGTGAGATCCCCAATGTTGCCGACCATGCATCAGCCAGCGACGGGATTCTGATCACCCCCCTCCAGAGAAGGATGGAGATGAACGCCATCAGTTCATAGACAGACATGTCCCAATCTGCTTCCATCCTGCGGTCATGCTCAACTATACAATTTCTTATAATGTGAAGGATGTCCCAACTAAAACAAGAGGTACACTGAGTCACCTAGCATGTATGCTCAAGAGTTAGGACAGTATTTAGAGGGATTCAAGCCCCAGGGCGGGAGCACCCTGATTCAGTATGTAGATGACCTGCTGCTGTGTTCCCCTACTAGGCAGAATTGTGAGCAAGATACCAAAGCGCTGTTGCTGTTTCTAGCCCAAAATGGCCATAAAGCCTCAAAGGCAAAACTGCAGTTAGTCAAACAGGAGGTTCAATACCTTGGACATGTCCTCAATCACCTGGGCAGAAGCCTAGGTCCAAAACAAGTAGAAGGGATTCGCAAGGCCCCCATCCCAGATACTAAAAGGCAATTGATGAAATGGATGGGAATGGTCGGCTACTGCCGTCCCTGGATCCAGGATTTTGCCAAAAGATCCCAACCTTTACTAGACCTTATGCATGGGGGACAAGGACTTAGACCTAATGACAGACTGGACTGGACGACTAAGGCTGAGACGGCGTTCGCTGACCTTAAACAAGCGCTATGCGATGCGCCCGCTTTAGGAGTACCAAATTTTTCCAAGCCATTTCAATTGTATGTGGAT